AATGAGATTTTTATTCAGTCATGTTGGGGATTTTACCACTTTTTAACCTTGTACAGTATGTTATTATTTCAATAAGTTGGAGACTGGAAACAATCTCATTTTATTGAATTGTGTATAAAATAATCTTTGTTTCCAAATAAAATTTTTAGTTTTCAAAATTGAACATTACACACGTGCCGAAAGAAAAGAAAAAAACCACACCTTATTTCTGGTGATGTGACAGCATATGGTCTGAACAATCACTAATGAAGCTCAGCTTTTAAAATATCTTTAGGCAATGTTTAGTTACCATTGAGTACTGCAGATTATAAATATTTACCTTACTCTAATGCAAATATAGCAATGTGAGCAGTAATTTATGGTTTTGTGAGAAAGTGACCATATGGACCTTTGGCAGACATGAAGAAAGTAATATAATGTTAAGTTTAGAAAACTTGAGAACAAACCATAGATATGGAGTTTTTGAATTCAAATGCTTTTTTTTTTCCTGAAAATATTTTTGAATTAAATTATATCTGTTTGAAAGTTGTGGAAAATTTCTTCTTCAACAAGATATCAGATATACTTATTTTAGCATTTAGCAGTAGGTGATGGCAAATATTCCAAGAGTTCAATTCTTTATTTATCGAACATTATTGTTAAGTGTGTCATATTCGAACAAATCAGTAGGTAAAAAAAGTTTCTTATTTATTGTATTATTGTGACTGGTCAGGTCATAGGTCAAAAATAAGTATGTTAGTTTTCATCTGTTTTTTTATAACTTATTACTGGAAGTGGTGGCTTCTGCAATAGAAAAAATAAAGTATCAAAATAAATATGTTAATAAATAACAATCCAGTTGAAACTGAGTGGATATATAAAATGGGACTTTCTAATGAACAGTTTAAAAAACTGAAATTATAAGATGAACATAATTATTTTTAAAGTTTTTTTCAAAGAGTGTCTGATTAACAAAATTTTGGAAGTTTCACAATAAAAAAAAAAGAAATAGAAAATTAAATTATATGATTATTTTTAAAGTCCAAACTTGATACTCTTTAACAAATTTGTATGAAGTTTCATTTAATTTAATGATTGTTTTTTCTTCTGTGAGAAAAAAAAATCAAAGGATATCAGTGATACCCCTCGTGTCTGCAAAGGGGTAATTGTAATTGGAGATTATATTCTCATAATTTGAGGGTGAGTAAAACTATATAAACTTATGAAAGGATCTGTCCTACTTATAGAGTAATAGCTTTATGATAATAAAAGTTTATTTAAATGCAATGAATATGAACCTCAAGATAAAATGTTTTTGTGATATACATTTTCTAGTTCATGTACATACTTTTATTAAGTTCAAACAGCAGTGTTTTTGTACAAGCTACTAGTTGAAATTGGATATACTTTTAGAATTATACTTCAAATGTTTGTTATTCATTTTAAGGTTTTGTGACCTGGAAATATGAAAATTACAGTGGTTATCAGTTTGTCAATAATTTTATAGTATATTTTCAACATTAATGTTCAGTAATTCCTGTGTGTGAAGATTAGGTAGGAAATATGTTGATTAAGTAACATTAGTGTGCCACAGATTATATGCTTTTTTTAGCAGATATATATATATGTTTAATATTAATTTACTAATATGTGATTTTCAGGCCTAAAAGTGAATATTCAGAACTAGAGGATGATGCTTGTAAGTTCGAGCTTCAAAGTTTTATTATATCCAATTTTTTTAGTAGATTTCAAGTAAATAACATTTATTTGTTTTAATTATGGTTTATTCACATACACATTTTGTGGCAAAATTGTCTGCAGGGTTGTATAGAAAAAAAAAATTATGTATAATCAGAAACAGTTGTATTTTTTATTCCTTTAAATATATTATCTACATTTTAACTGCCATCTTTATTGTGTCTGCACATTGTCAGAAATATTAAATTAGTAATTAAAACATTAGTTCATTAAACAGTTTGTATTTGTGTAAATTTAATTTTTACTTGTGTTCTGGACAACAGTGTCTAACAAGATTTTATTACCTCAGATTGGTATCCAGCATCTGAATGTGTTAGGTTTGAGTGATTTTTTTATTATTTGCAGATACATGAAGATAGCAATCCCCAGGTTCTTTTGCTGTTATTCTTTATAGAAGCCCAAGTTGAAACCTAAATGTTCATGAAATTGCTTACTGTATTGTAATGATAATAATGAAATTAGAATTGTGTGTAAAGACAACATATATTTTACAAAATTGGTAAATTCAGCTGATTTAACCAAAGATTCTCTTAATTAATTGAAAACTTACTTTGATGAAAACCTAGTATTGATACACACCTCAGTGTTTGTTTAGTATATTATTTTTTCTTTTTATTACATTAAACTGGGTTAAATTGTAATTAGGATATCAATATTCTTAATATTTATTTTTTATTATGTTATTAACATAATTTGTTGTTGATTATTATTTATTATTTTATATCTTCATAAACATTAGTTTTTGCTGTATTATCTCTACTGTCCTTCAATCTGACTGTAGTTAAACAGTAACATGATTTAGTAATTCATCTCAGATGTTAAGCTACTCTAAAGTTACGCTGTTGGAGCTTTTTTAATAATGTGCTTTCATTGGTCACAAAAAACATTAAATCTATTTACGATAGTTCATAAAGTAATATACTAATGTTTATGTGTGGTCCAAAAATAAGTTGTATCCTATTCTCTTTAATGTTATTTTCATTAAGAGTATTGATTACACTTTATTATACCAGATTTTTTTTTGTATTATGTATTTTAATTTGAAAGATTATTTTGCATTTTTAGTGTAGTATAAGATTTTAGGGCTAACTTAAATATCCTAAGCTGCATCAACCTTCCCAGATATTATTGGGATTATGACTAAAAATAATGCATTTCTGAGTTAATTTTCAGTTCTGATTTATATAGATAGCTTGCTTTGATCAGAAGTTAATAATGTATTTTACTTGAACAATTTTGATGATTATGAACACACATTTATGTATGTGTGTGTGTGTGTATTATTTTCATAGTCAGACATTTGTCAAGTAGAATATATCGCTCATTCTTTTTTTGTTTATTTTCTAGATGAAGGAGAATTTGTATGGGATAGCAAACCTAACAAGTTCTACTTTAACGTAGAATCTTCAGGAGCCTTGAAGCCAGAAACCATTGTGCTATCAGGTTTACATGTATTAAAGAAGAAACTCAGTGATCTTCAGACTCAACTTAGTCATGAAATGCAAAATGATGCTTTAGCTATCAGTTGAAACCATGATTATTTCTAGGAATTTTGACAGACTTTTCTTATAAAACATTTTTAGATTTGAAAACCATGTAATTTTTGTGTCATTTCTCGTATAAAAAATGGTGAATGTTGTAAAAAAATTGTAAAGTAGTGTGACTTTTTAAAAAGTTTCATTTTAACATGTAACTTACTTCCGATACAATATCTTACCTCTTTTCACAAAATGACTTTCCTCAATTTGTACTGCCCTCTATATTGCACAATTTTCACTTGCCACAAGCCTTCATACTCCCACCTACTTCTGCGTGGTTAAGATGCACTATAGCATGCAATAACCCTCCACCAATAGGAGTGCAACATACCCTCCTAGAGCAGCTGACTCCCAGTATGCAGAAGAACCCAATCTTCACTTCTCGATTTGGCATGACAATATTTAGATGTCTAGCTTACATTTTCGATCAATTTCTTTTGTGCTTCGTTGCTGTTGCATTTGTTACTTTATCTTCAATTTTCAACTTTAACAATTTTTTGTTGTCTTTTTTGTTTGTGACTGTTTAAGCCACTTTTCATCAAATTTAATAACTTTATTTCTTTTCATGATGTGCCATTCCCACTCATGTACAGTACCATAATTTCTCAATTTCAAGTCAAAGGTGGCAATACATGTGGTTATGACTGGTCCAATATTACTAACTATCAACAATGTTTTGTGAAAATTAACCTGGATTCGTTTTTGAAGATTAATTATCGAAACATGCTGTGACACTTGGTGTGATGGTCTCTATTTTTGTCAGATATGCTAACGAATTTCAGAGACCCAACTTCAATGGTAGGGCCAGTGGTGATGCTCAGTGCATTCCTGTTCCAAGGACCGTCTTTAAATAAAAATGAACACTACTGCTTTAGATACTATTGGTCAAAGAAGTTTTGATCCTAGTCCTCAGGGAGTTGGCTTTTTTCTTGCGGGCCTGAGGATCTCATGACTTTCAACCATTTTTCATCTTTCCTGGACAGTTGGTACAGGTAGATGAGGAAATAGACAACTCTTCTCCCCTCCAGTCCTTGCTGTTTCATTCTCAAGCTGTGGGTGTGCCAAGACCTTTTCCATTGTTGGACCTGGTAACACAGGTATGTTATGTTTTTGTCTCACACTTTTTATGAACCATTCCCTACCCTGTTACTGTAGCACCTAATGTTGATTATTTTGTCCTTTTTCCTTCACCTGACATTAGGGTAGATGATTAGCATTTTGCCAATCTGATGTATTTGGGAGCTAGCATGCTGCACCCCCAATGCTATATAAAGGGAATTGGTGTCCCATTCTAGATCTCTCCAGTCTAAACCATTCTATGGAGGTTCCTCGGTTCACCAAGGAGTCTTACCTGGCCCTTCGATGGGCATTTGCTTCTACTCTTTGGTTGATGAAGATTGACATGTCCAATGCTTACCTTCACGTCCTGTTGTTATCAGTGCTTTGTCCATGTGGAACATGTTTGTTATTTCTGTGGCCTTACTTTCGGACTTGCCTCAGCCTCTTATGTTTTTGTTTGGTGGTCAGGTCATTTGCTCACTTTTTTCATGCACACAAACTACTTTTCCACCACAACATGGATGACTGGCTCTTTCTAGTTCCTTGTGTGCAGCGGCTTCCACTCACATGCATTTTCTCCTTCGGGAGGCTGGTCAAGTGGGATGGCTGGTCAAAGTGAAGAAGTATGTTCTCACTCGAACCCCATACCTCATTCATCTTGGGGCATTCTTCAATTCCCATCTCAGTTGATCCCAACCTTCTTCCCTTTGTCTGTGTTTTATGGAGACTTTTAGTTCAGAAGGCATGATCCTCACCTTTTCTCCCTGCAGAAGTGGCTCTTTCTCTTTTGGGGAATTGGGCTTCCTTGGAGTATCTTATGACCTGGGACCATGCTCACATGAGATTTCTTCAGTGGGTACTTCCTATTCAATAGAACCCTGCCAGTGTTCCTCTAGTTTACACAAATTCTCTTTCTCCTTTTTTTCAAACAGATTTGCCCAGTGGTTGGACAAGGACAACAGAATGGCTGATGTCCCTCTTCCTCTTCCCGTACCAGATGTACACCTTTAACAAATGCTTCAATGTCAGGATGGGGTGCGTATTGCAATTCCCAGGAGATCTCAGGGCATTGGTCTTCAGCAGAGTTGGGTCTTCATATCAATCTTCTGGAGCTCTTAGGTGTTCGTTGGGAGATGGATCACTTTTTACCAGCTCTGATTAAAGTAATGGTCTTAATTCATTCCAATAACTACTTTTGTCTTTTATGTCAAATGAAAAGGGGTCACTTAGTCTAGGTCATTGTGTTTCACACTTTGGATCTCCTGTTTGGGGCTCACAGCTGGCTTGTCATATCCCATGTGCTCTCCATCTTGTTGTGGATTGTTTGTCCTGTCCAAACAAGATTCTCCCCACATCTTTTGGTGGCTATGCTCTCAGTTGGGTACTCCCTGGCTGGATGCATTTGGTACTTTTTTGAATACCAGACTTCCTCTGTTTTGGTCCTCTTTTCACATCCTTTGACAAAGATATCCTCAGTCAGGATTGGGGGGGGGGGACCTCTACATTTATGCATATCCTCCAATCTATCTTCTTCCTAAAGTCCTCTCAATTATCAAAACCACTCTTTGTAGAATCCTTCTCGTGGCTCTGTTCTGGCCTGCTCAACCATGGTTTTCTTTACTTCTCTCTCTCCAGGTTTCTCTCTTACCTCATCCTTTCTTTCCTACTCCATCAACTTCACTCTGCAGCGCTTCATCTTTAAATCTCTATACTCCGGCTTCACGCATGGCTTCTATTTAGTCCCTTGCATGAGGTTCCAGAATTTCCACATGGATTGTGTCCCTTCTTTCCCAGGCCCAGCATGGCCAGGTGGTTAGGGCACTCGACTCGCAATCTGAGGGTCGCGGGTTCGAACCCCTGTCACACCAAACATGCTCACCCTTTCAGCCGTGGGGGCATTATAATGTGACGGTCAATCCC